GAAGAAGAGGAGGAGGAGGAGGAAGAAGAGGAGGAGGAGGAGGAAGAAGAGGAGGAGGAGGAAGAAGAGGAGGAGGAGGAGGAAGAGGAGGAAGAGGAAGAGAAGGAGAAGGAGAGGGACCTGAGCTGCTGTGCCAGGATGTCTTGGCACCCTTTGCTCATCACACCTTCACCAGAGTATCTTCTCTGGGGTCCTCTGGCTTGCAAGCCACAGGGGTGTGGAGAATGCCACCCCCAAAAAGGCAGAGGACTCTGAAGGGTGACACAAACTGGCAGCTTTTTCTGAGGGGTTTGGCAAGGTGTGTGTGCTTGTTGGAAGGGCTGTGCTTGGCCAGTGGTCCCTGTTGATCCTCAGAAAGCAGGGATTGCTGCATTTCAGCTGAACCACCAGCAATGTGGCCCTGCTGGAGCCCTCCCCCAAGGCACCGTGTCCCCAAGGTCCTGGTGGCTGCCCTAGGTCTTAGTGATTGTCTGCACAGTCTCCAGCAGCCAAAGCTCTTCAGGATCCAACTTGTGCTGCTGCAAGAGCCACCACTCCCCTCTCCTGGGTGTCCTCCTCGTCGTGGGGATGCAGGGGTTGGTGTCTTGCCTTGCACTGAGGGTTTGGCAGAAAGGAGGGGACAACATGGGGAGGACAGCAAGTCACTTGGCCACCACTGCCATGAGCAGTTGCCCTTTTTTGCCTTCAGTGGAAGACCCAGGGATTGCAACAAGGGAAGCCACCTGGTCAGGTGTTGACCCCCAGCCTGGTCACCCTCCTGGTCACCCTCCCAGTGCCACCAGCACCATGGCCTTCTCTTTGCCTTCAGTGGAAGACCCAGGGACTGCAACACGGGAAGCCTCCTGGTCAGGTGTTGACTCCCAGCCTGGTGGTGTCCCTCCCAGTGCCACCAGCACCATGGCCTTCTTGTAGGGCTCCCAAACCTGGCCCAGATGCTCCAGGTGCCCCTGCTCCAGAGGGGATGCCCAGGGACACTGGGCTGTGGCTGCAGGAGGCTCCACAGGACCTGCCACTTCATCAAGTGCTGCAAATAACCATTTTCTCAGACCACCAGGGATCCCCATTTGGCCAGGCAGGTAGATCAGAGGAGCTGTGGGCACCTCATAAGGAAAGTCCCAACCCACAAGGGCCCTTGTGGGTGTCCCCTGCCTGCCCTGGTGATGTTTGGGGGCTTTGGGACTGCCCACAGGAGTGGGTTCAGGTGGTACCATGGCCCAGACACACACAGGGTGGGACACTGGGGATGGGTTGTTCCCTCCCCACCCCAAAACCCAAAGCCAAAAGGGCTGGGACCGTGCTGGGAGAGCCCATAGTTTGGAGCAGAGGGAGGTTTATGTGGGGCTGAGGGTGAAGCAAGGAGGCAACAGGGGTGGAGGATGAGAAGATTATTTATTTCTTTCTTTATTTTCCATAGATTTTTATAAAAAATAATTATCAAATACAAAAAAATAAAAATAGCAGCAGCCTCCGTTGTGAATAAAACCCTAAAGGGGACAAAACAAAACCTCTCAGTGTGGCTATAGAAGCACAAGATTTGGGTATGTAGAAGCTGTCCATTCCAGAGAAGCACAAATCTGCCAGCCAAGCCACCAACTCAGACCTTTCCCCTGCCTGGTTGCCCTGTCCATGGGGGTCACTGTCCCTTCCCTGCACCCACTGCTGAGCCAGGACAAGTCACTGCTTGAGATTTTCCTGCCAAAAGGGGGAAAATTTGGCAGCCAGACACACAGGTGACCTGGACACCAGGCAGTGGAGGGCTTGGCATGGTAAGATGCTGGGGTTTTAAAGTCTCCCTCCTACCTCTGCTTGTCACCCTCACTATATGGTCCCCTTGTCCTCAGGGGCTGTTGTGCCCCCTGTTCCTGCTCCCCCCCCCTGAATTTCCCCCTCCCTACCCCAGTGGAGCAGGACAGGCTGCCCAAACTGCACCTTCTGGGAGAACATTTTCAATCTCAAAGGCCTTTTAAAACAAAATACTAAATATTTCCTTGTATTTTTGTAGTGTTTGGGGTTTGTTGTTTTTTTTTTGGGGGGGGGTGTTGCTTTTTATTTCTCATGGACAAATGGATCAGAGTCCAAAAAAAAATAAATTGCAGCTCTGTCTGACAGTGCATTTGGGTGATGGGACCAGAGATGTGGCCCTGCTGAAGAGGAGGTGGGGCCCTATGTCCCCCCCCCGCCTCCAGCATCCCTGCCTAGACCAGGGTCCCCCACCATGGGGCACCTGGAGCACTCAGGGCTTGGGAAACGACTGGGAGGAGGAGAAGGCATCTCCTGCCTGGGCACTGGTGGGATGTCCAGGTGCCTCTGCCCCTCCTCTTTCTTTTCCTCCAGCCACAACTTTAGGAGATGTCTGGAAAAAAAAAAAAAAAAAAAAAAAAAAAAAAGTTTTTTTTTATTTGGTGCAACCCAGGATCCTGTTAAATTAAATTAAACAGTGGAACAGGTTTTTGAGGCACCATCCCTGGAGGTGTTTCAGAGCCGTGTAGATGGTGGTGCACCGTGTCACCCTCTCTCCATCGCTCCTGGGGTGGACAAACTTGGGCTGGGAGCCTCTCTGGGCTGGGAGGAGGTGGCTGTGGGTCTCTTGGTCCCATCCTGCACCCTTGGTGGTCCACGCTCCTGCTCTGGGGTCTCTTCTGTGCTCTCCTCTGTCCCTGTGTCTTCAAGGCACAAAACCATCAGCAATGACCCCAGGCTCCTTCCCCACCTGCTGCCACCACAGGGCTGGGTCCTGTGGCCGAGCTGAGCTTCTGGCACTCAGCTACAGGGGGAGGAAAAAGTTTCTATCTGGGCTTCTTTAGGGCTAGAGGTGAAGCTGAAGATGCTTCACTTTCTGCCCACAGGCAGGTGAAAGTCAGTGGCTCTACATCTACCCTGGTGGGCTTGGCCACAGAGAAGATTGCAGTGGGAAAAGATGATGCCCAAAGTCTCCTGACAGGTTGTTTAGGTCTTGTCTCTCCTCCCAACAAACAACACTGTTGAAGCTCAGGTTTGGAAAGGAGATGGGGGGGGGGGGGGGGGGGAGACCTTCTTCATTCAGAGCATCCCAGAGCTCCTCTGCCTTGCCCACAACGTTCCTCACCTACTTGGGCACACAGTGCAGAGGGATCCTTGCATGTCTTTGCTCCTACTGACCACACAGTCATCCCCATGGACATGAAACCCTTCCCAGAGGGCTGACAGGCACCTGGGGTGCTCTTTTAGGGTGACAGCCCTCCCAGAACCTTCTCAACCTCAACCCCCTGACCCCCTAAGCAGAACACAGTGAAGCACCAGCAAATCCCAAGGGCAAACCTTGTGCCTGGAAGAGCACCTGGAGGTGGGAGCTTCCATGCCACCTGCCTGGGGAGCCCTCTCCTAGCCTGGCCTGGCCCGGGTATTTTGGCTTCTCCCTCTGTCCTCCTTCCAGCTCCTGCTCAGCAAGGAAGGGCAAATTACCTGCTCCTTCCTTGCTTTTCCCAACAGGTTGTACTTCAGAGCAGCATGGGTGTGTGACAAAGGATTTCCTTTCTCAGCTTCATCAAGAGCAAAGAAAATATATTTATATATATATTATATGTGTATATATATATATATATAATTAAGTTTAAATATCATGTAACAGTTTAAGTTGGAAGGGACATTAAAGATCATCCCGTTCCAACACCCCCTGCATGGGCAGGGACACCTCCCACTATATATATATAAATTATATAGGTAGGTACACACAAGACAGAATCAGCACCTTAGTCTTCATACCTTTAATATCTGATTTTCATTTTGTTAATAAAAGCTAAATATAATACTGAGCTTCTCTATTATTATCTCAGTCACATTTGCAGAGAGATCACAACTACCTCGACCTTGCTAAATAAGCCTGTACAGCAGCAGGGGGGTGGGGGTGAATAGTGACCAAACCCAGGGCAAGGACACCTGGACACTGGACCAAAGTCCATGGCAGAGCCTGGGCTCTCATGGTGCATGGCCAAGGCAGTGCTGGACCCTTGGCTGAGCCCCTCCAGCACCTCCTGGGTCCCCCACCCCCCATGTGCCCCTGGGTGGCTTTGGGAGGGAGCAGAGATGGGGAGGCGACCACCACGTGCTGCAGCCTGGTGGCCTCCACCTGTCCCCTCCATGCACAGTGGCCACCCCCACACCTTGGCCATCCCCACTGGTCCCCCCTCGCTGCCCTGGGGCTGCTCCAGAGCTGCTCCTGACCCAGAGAGGCCCTTGATGGTGCTGCTACTGGTTCTCCTCGGCCGCTGGGTCACGGCACGTGCACTCGTCCTGGTCACAGTCAGCAGCAAATGGGATCACCTGGAGGGGGGGAACAAAAGGAGACCATAGGATCAGGGGATCATACTGCATGGAAAGATCCTCAAGGCCAACTGTGAACCCAGCCCTGCCAAGCCCTCCTGGTCTCCTATTCTGCTCCTCTTGGAGGATCTCCCCCCACCTGCAGCAGCTGGGGCAGGAGCCAGGGTAGATGAACAGAGTTCCTGTGCAATATGGACTAAGAAAACCCAGGCAGGCTGGAGGCAAGGGGGGAGGGCACCAGCAGAGCACCAGGCTCCTGGTTGCCAGTTGCCCAGTCATGGCCACAGGAGCTGAGCATCCTCCAGATGCTTCGTACACACCAGCCTCGAAGCCTGGAGTTTTTCTTTCTGTGGAGGGAGATTTGATTTTTCACAGCCTGGGCCAGTGAGAGGCTGGAGCCTGTTTGGTGTCTGAGCCCCCTATTCCTGCATCTGTCCTAACAGCAAAGCTCTGGAGGCTTGTGCCATGGGAAAGCTGGGAGCTGTGGGGATGCCAGCTGGGGCTGGTCTCCTGAAAGCTGTGCAACTGGATGCCCCCACCTTCTACTGTGAACCCATCCTTTATTTTGGCCAAGAATCCAGATGTCTAAGGCCTCCTGAGAGCCCTGCCTTGCTCTGAGATGTCCTGATATCTGTGGAGGTTTCACTCACCACTTGGGTGTAAAACCTTTCCTCTCCTATCTCCACTGCATCTTCCCAGGATTTTATTTTCCCTTTTCTCTGCGTGTGCATGTGTGATGAAAGGAAAAATGATTCAAGCTCCACAACAAAGACGAGAAGATCCAAATTCACATATTTTTGCAGTGAGAAGTTATCTCATGCCCTGAGATTTGTTTTGCTGTTGGATATGCTTAGGAAGGATGGGCTGTGAGTGCTGGAGAGAGAGAGAGAGAGGTGGGAAGGGGGGAATTGTGATGGGGGACAAAGAAGGGGCAACACCAAGTTGCTTCTTCTGCACTATTCCTTCCTCCAGGTTATTCCTCCTTCCTTCCATCCCCAGGAGAATTAGAAGGGGATATAACCCACAGCAGACATCAATGGACCATACCCCAAATGTCCTGAATATGCTCAGTTACAGCTTAAGGTGACTCCTGACTCCCCACAGCTACATCCTGTGGAAGTAAACATCTCTGGGACTCGGTTCCCAAAAATGAGAGGGAATCCCATGAACCTCAGCAAGAGCTGGGCTGAGTTTTTGGTCCCTCTGGCCCTGGTCCAAACCCAGCTGTAATCAGTGGGACGAGGTCTATCAGCTTCAGCTGCCTTTGGTTTAAAACCATGGGCTTTTCTTCTCCATTCGTGGGAGAATTGCAGTGCAGGCTCAGTGCTAGCAAAGCTGAAAAGCAGGGCTACCAATCACTGAATCCTGGCCAGCTCCAGAGGAGATGCTCTCTTACCTTCCTGGAGGAGAGTGTGGAGGAGCAGCAGTCACCCCCATCATACTGGCAGTACGCCCGGTTGTTGATGGTGTCACACCAGCCATCTGCTTGGAAGGGCTAGGCAGAGAAACCAGTGGTTGTTGAAAGGGTTATTCAACAGGGGAAGGTTCCCCTCCAAACCCCAGATCCTCAGCAAGGCCCCTCTGATGAGGGTCAAGGCCCAGTTGCTCCCTACACAAGCTCCTCTTCGAAGCCAAAGGGCAGCAGAAGGCTGGTGTGTTTGGAGGAGGGGGGACTTGGAGGGCAGCAGCTGCAGCTCAAGGAGCAGGGAATTGTGTTCAGGAAACGAGGATGGAAACACACATCACTCTAGAGGGCTCCAGCCTGAATGTCACAAGTCCCCATCACACTTGGTGCTCCTCCATGGAGCCCAGTGCCACCCAAGGAGGAGTGAGTTCATCACCTCATCTGCTCCCCCACCTCCTCACACCCCTGCCAACGTGTCTCCAGGGCTCTGCGTGTGCAGAGACAGGGCAGGGCTCTGTAAGAAGCTTATCCAGCTCTTCTCTCCAACACACCTCCTCCCAAGGAGCTTGGCTCTCAAGCTGAGCCTGGTGACCTGGGGCTGCAGAGGGCAGAGAGGCTGCCACCAGGATCTACAAAGCAACCTCCTAGAGGATCAACCTCAGGAAGGCAGGTGCTTTATCTCCCTTAGACTATGAGAAAGGTTCAGCAAGGTCAGGAGTCTCCCAGAAGTACTTGCACTCAAGCCAAGCCAAGCACTGGCTGCAAGGACCATTGCCTGTTGCAGAGCAGTCCTGGCTCTGAACCCAAGGAACATGTCTACAAATTCCTCCAGGTTCTCCACTGGAGGCTCAAGCCCCATCCACAGCACATGGCTCCATCAAACCTTGCCAGGTTGGACAACAAGGCTCCTTGTTTGATGGCCAGCTGCCCTTCAACACTGCCAGGGCCACAGCTTCTCTGGCCAGTCCCTCACAACCCTCACAGTGAGGAATTTCTTCCTAAAGTCTCACCTAAACCTCCCTTCTTCCATTTTAAAGCCACAACTCCATGTCCTGTTGTTACATGCCCCTGTAAAAGTTCATCCCCAGCAGCAGCCCAGTCCCCTCTGCTGCCCCAGTGGCTCTGCCTGGACAACTGGGGATTTGAAGAGCCCACCTTGCCTTGGTGCAGCTCAGATAAATTCTCCACCACAAACAGAGCTCAGCTCTGACAAGGAAACAGCAAAACTATCACAGCAGACCAGCTTTTGGTCCAGAGATGTGCAATGGCACACAAAGCCACTCAGAAATCCAATTGATTGCTGATTAGTTCCATCAATCATCTGACCACAGGAGAGAAACCAGCACCAGGGGCTGAGGAGCAGCCAGGTAGGCTGAGAAAGCAACATGAACTGGCAACTAACTGTCAGGAACAATCTGCAGCAGAGGTTTGTTTATCCCAGCTACACCCCAGCACTGCCAAGCACCACCTGAGCCTGCTAAACAGAGCTTGAGAAGCCATTCATTAACCTAATGACTAGTAATTAAACACTTCTCCTGCTCCTGTGGTGGGAACCACTGGCCCAGCAACCATGGCCAACCTCCAGGAGGACCTCTGCCATCAGGAAGGGCTTTTTGGTGGGAACCCTGGCTACCAGATGGAAGCAGCCAACCCATTTCAGTGCATCTGGTGGCCCCAAACAACAAGTGGGCTTCAGGAGACACCTGGACCCAGCCTTTGGTGGACACTTGCCTGTAGCACCCCTAAACCAAGTGACAGCTGGCTGAAAAATGTCACCAAACCATGATAGCCTCATATCCCCAAAGCCAACCTGTGGGCCTGCTGATAATGCCAATAATTCACTCAAAAAAACCCAACCCCACACCAAAACTAGGGAACTAATGGGGCTTCATGTCATTGAGACCCACAAGGAACAGCAAGAGGCTGAAGTTACTTTAGGAAGCAGCAGGAGGGATTATGACAAAACCCAGCTGTCTGTGCTAGCAGTGCCACAGTCCCCAGGCCAAAATCCAGGCAGGCACAGAGGGATCACATTTGCCTGGAGGATCTGGTGAGAGGAGGAGAAGGAGCAGAACCTCCTATCGCTGGGAAACTGAGGCACAGCCAGCTCAGGTAGCTCACTTGAAGGGATTTGGCTCCCATCATTGCCATCCCAAGCCACAACCAGAGGACACCAGGGTGCAGCTTCACTGGGGCTATAGGTTTCATGCCCCTCTTCCACTGCAAAGTGTTGAACAGGGACCCAAAGGAGACCAAAGGACCAAAGGAGCCCTCTGAGCACCAGGAGGGCCAGGGGAGGGATGCTGGGGCTGGCTGGGGCAGGGATGCAGGCAGGGCACTGGCAAGGGAAGAGCCCTTCTGGGTGTGATTTGCTTTTGCAGCTTTCCACGTGGTGGAGGGGTTGGTTTGTTGTTTTTTTTAATCCCTGAGCTTTGCTTTCCACATGTCATGACTCACCAGCAAAACCACCGCCCGCTGCCTGGGTCCCTTCCATCCCCTGGTGGGGAGGTTTGCCCATCCCTGGCTGCACCAGGTCTGAAACCATTCCCACATCTCCTGGGCAAGGTTTGGGGAGGACAGAAATGGGGGGCAGGCTGGGGGAGGCTCTCTCTCCTTTTCTCTCTCCACCTCTCAGGGCTCATTGCCCCCTCCTCTCAACCCACCCCACCCTAAACAAACACAGGCTCCTATAGCAACACTTGTTGGGGAAACCTAACAACTCCTGCTCCAAATTACCTTGGAAAAACAGATGAGGGGAAAATAGAAAAATGACTAATTGGACTGGAGGCTGAAGAGAGGCAGGAGGAGGGCTCAGGGACAGCTGTCCCTGCTCCTGGTCTGGAGAAGACAGTGAGTCCTGGTGCTTTGCCTTGTCAAGAACCTCCAGCTGGTTTCATCTTTGCAAGGAGAAAAGACCAAAGTGAGGAGCTGGTGGGTCACCCTGGAGGGCACAGGTGCCTTTGAAATGGAATCCATCTCATTTTGGTCTTGCAAGAGGACAGGGGCAACACAAGGTACTAAGAGCAGAAGCTACAAGAGGTTATATTTTAATAGAATAAATATATTCTATATTTAGGTGAGACATGAGGAGGAAATTCTTTGCAGTGAGGGTGGTGAGAGCCTGGCCCGGGTTGCCCAGGGAAGCTGTGGCTGCCCCATCCCTGGCAGTGTTGAAGGGCAGGTGGGATGGGGTTTGGAGCAACCTGGGCTGGTGGGAGGTGTCCCTGCCCATGCAGGGGGGTTGGACCTGGATGATCTTTAAGGTCCCTTCCAACCCAAACCAGTCTGTGTTTCTATAAAATACCTACAAACTCTGTCCAGCCTGTGCTTGAGCTGCAGGGCTCCATGGAGAGGTGGGAGAAGGGGGGTTTGTGAGTGTTCCTGTGAGTTGGCAACTCACAGAAACATCTGGTGAAGGTTCAAGATGTAGGAAAAAAAAAGGATCAAACCCCAATGCCCAGTTGTGCCAGGAGAAGGCAACGGGTGCAAACCAAGGCAACTGGTCACAGCTGCCAGAACGTGCATCCTCCAGTGAGTCAGAGGGAAAGGGGCTGGTTGGAACAGTAAACTGGGAAGAAAATCATTTAGGTAATTGCTGCAACTGCTCTGTGTTAAGAGATTGAAAGCTGCTGGGCTAGGGGGTGTGGCACCATGGGGGTGTCCCCCCCCTTTTTCCTTGTTTCTCCTGCCAGGAGCTTGCACGGGACATGTGTCAGCACGTGGAGGTGCAGCCTCTGGCCCCAGCAGGCCCCAGCCCTGAGCTGCTGGCAGGAAAAACAGCAATTGGCAATTTTAAGAGGCTAAAAAGAAACAAAGGCTCTTCAAGCCAGGAATAGGGATGAATGAAAAGAGGAAAAAAAAAATTAAAGGAGGGGAAAAGAAGAAGAAGAAGAAAAAGAAGAGGGAAAAATATTGCAGGCAAAGGAGGGATGTGAGAAAGATCCTGCCACATCCCAGGCAGGACTTGGTGATGCCATTCCTCTCGTGGAGGTGCCATGCAGGAATCAGTGTCTGTGCACAGGGTTTTTCCACTGTCCCTGCAGTGTCCCAGGGCTGAGCTGGCTGGTTCCCTCCCTGGGGCTGCTGTCCTGCCTGGCACGTGCCCCCAGTGCCACTGGGGAGGCAGGCAGGGTCCAGGCACTTCCCTTCAAATCCATCTTCTGTGTAGGTTGATTCACTGGGAGAAAGCCTGGAAGGGTGTGACAGGGAAGATGGAGCATGAGGAAGAAATCACAGATGCCATCAATATTGGACATATTTTGCTGCTGTGTCACAGGTGCTGGGTGAGCAGCACTTCCCAGGAATGCAGGGTTTGCTCTGGTCGAGGCAACCTGAAGTCCTGGCACTTGGCTTTGGGCAGGGACCTGTTCCAGATGCTTTGAAGGAAGGTGGAAAAAAGAAGAATAAAAAAAAAAAGCTCAGCAATCACCTGGCCAGTTGTAGAACTGAAGAGCTGAAAGGCTGTCCTGCACTGCACTGGCATTTCCATCTGCCCAGAGCCAGAGCCAGCCCAGAACTCAGTTTCAGGGCATCCAGACCAGCCTTAAAAAGCAAAAAGTGTTTCTGCCCAGCACTCAGGAGGCTGCACAGGTGCTGGGCTTTGTGCCAGTGCTGGTCCCATCCAAGGATGGTGCATGGTTTGCTTTCATGCTGCTGCTAAGACAGCACAGGTGTTGTCATCCTTGCATCCTTCCCTTTTGGCACTGGTCTTTTGGGCATCAGCCTTGGACCCTTTGCAAGCTGAAACGACCACATGTGACCCTGTGGCTGAGAAGGTGGAGGTGTCTTAGTTCTTCTCAGCTGTAGCTTTCCAAGCTGTAGCCCCAGAGGAGCAGGGGAACTCCCATTTCTGCAGGAGACACAGGCTGGAAAAGCTGCTGTGCTGTCAGCCCCATGGTTCATCCATCAGCTTCACCACTGTTAGCTCTGCTCCTGTGCTGGATGAGCCATTAGAGGTGGTTTTGAGGAGAAAAGAAGGAGATGGCATGGCTGAGGAGACAGGGACAGGTGCCCAACTTCCACCAGGGAAACATCTTCACTGTGTTCATGGTGTCCTGGGAACCTTGCAAGCTCTTCATCAGCTCCAGGAC